TTCGCTAGTGGAAAGTGAAAAGTTCTAATTCTTGTCAGTGTTTTATGACGATGACAAGCAGGGTAACAGGAGGATGGGTGGAATGTAAGTGCTCGATGTCGTCAGAAAATGGATTTGTGTCGCCAGGAATTAACGCATTTGGAGTTTGGACAAAAATTTATATGTCAACTATTTTTGTATAAAGTTCTATATATGAATATCATATACCCATGTATGCTCTTCCATCATATTTACTTATTTTAGTTTGATTTTTACATTGAGTTATTTTTTTATGTAGAAATTAGGGATTAAATTTTAAATTTGTTGATTAGATGATTTTATATAATAAATAAATAATAATTGAATTTTTTTTTATAAATAATGTTTATTGAATATTTTTATTTAAATAATTTTTTTTAATTATCATTCATATACTATATAAAATCATCTAATTAAATTTTATGTAAAAGTTAAATTAAAACAATTAAATTTAATTAGAGGAAGTAGTATTTTATTTTTTAATTGTAATCATTACACACTCATTTTCGAAGATGGGAATATCCTTGTAAGCATGAGCTCTGTAGAAATTATGATGTTATGATGCAAAGACGGAAAGGCTGAAGACAGGTGAAGAATTCTATCAGTAGCAATACATAAGCCAAACAAATGATTATCTAAGTTCAATTGGATGCAATAGGTTAAGGTATGATGTGATTTAATGAAGGTTAAAAGGAAGATGGAGGAGGAGTATAGGAAATTGAACAAAATGGAAATGAGCATGTGGGAATGCTGTGAACTTCTCAATTCAATTATGGATGATAGTGATCTAGACTTGGATGAACCTTAGATTCCAAATTTAGGAAAATTTCCAATTATGAGAAATTTTAAAAATGATTTTTTTATAAGAAAAATGATCTTCATATCTTTCCACTTTTAAGAAGTGTTAAATACAATAGGTTGAAACTAACAATCAAGAATTTTGTTTAATTTAATGAGTAAGAGTATTTAAATTAGTAATAATAACAATTATCACTAATTAGATTAAACAAAATTGCCACTTACTAGTGTTTTTTTTTTGTACTAAACCCTTTATATTTGGAAGCCACGTTGAATCTAAATAATTTAAAGTCGAATCACATCAAATTGTATCAAAAAGAAGCTTTTCTAATACTTATCTCTCGATTCACAAAACTTGAAATTGATATTTTACTTAATAAGAATCAATCTCTTTTTATTCAAATCAACATGTCATTAGTACTGTTACCCATTAATTTTAAACCACTACATTAAACAACCCATTAAAAGAAAGCATGAAAAATAAGAAATAGAAAAGACCTTGCCGGCCTAAAAAAACCTTAAATAGGCCATTGTTGGTCCAGAAAACACCAGGGATGAGCATTTTCGGGTGTAGGTCTAATATGAGATATATTTAGTACTTGGTTTTAAAATTTTTAGCTATAGTTTGTTAGATTTAGTACTTGCTAAATAGTTGAAGATTTATACTAGATACTTAACTCAATAGGTACTAGATAACTTATGAGTATATATTTATGTACTTTGTTAAATGATATTTTACTTTAAATTTTTTGTCAAATTAAAATTTAATACAATATTGTTAACTTTCAATCTAAATCTAAATAAAACTAGTAAAATTTTAATAAAATATTAGTTATTATAATTTAAATTTAAATTTAAATAACAATAGAGAACTAAAATTTGGTTTTATATCCAGAACTCAAATCTATGGACTATTAAAAATCTAAACTTAATTAAATAATTAACAATAAAGAATTAAATCTAAATAAAACTAGTAAAATTTTAATAAAATATTAGTTATTATAATTTAAATTTAAATATAAATAACAATAGAGAACTAAATTTTGGTTTTATATCCAGAACTTAAATCTATGGACTATTAAAAATCTAAACTTAATTAAATAATTAACAATAAAGAATAAAAAAATATGTACCCAATAAATAAAAAATGAAAATAAAATAAATAACAAAATGAAAGTCTTTTAAAGAAGATAGCTAGGTTTTTGAGTTCATAATCCTCTTAATTCTTTAGTTTGGTTTGTTAGAAATAAATAGTAACTGATAGTATTATATCTATTTTAATATTATGATATTTATATTTTTAACTTACGATTTTTATCATGTTAAATTTAGAATTTGAAGGTAAAAAATTATCTATATAATAAATAAAGATTATGATTCTAAAATTACTAAAAGAAAGTTAAAAACAATCAAATTTGAAGTTGTATGCACTCACCATTACCTAAGAGTGCAAGGATGGGAAAAAATTGTTAGTTATGTGTGTGATATGTGTTTGATTTAGGATTTGTTATTTATAAACTATAAGTGTGGTTTTTTATTTTTATTTTTGTATTTTATTATTTTTATTTTTAAAAATTATTTTGTGAAAATCATGCATATGGGTTTAACATCACTGCCTAAAAATGCAAGGAAGGAAAAAAATTGTTAATTACGCGTGTGATGTGTTTGATTTAGGATTTGTTATTTATAAACTATAAGTGTGGTTTTTTATTTTTATTTTTGTATTTTATTATTTTTATTTTTAAAAATTATTGCTATTATATAGATATTAAATATAATAAGTATATATAAAATTTCAATTATATAAATATAGATAATATGTCAATTAAATAAAATGGTTAAATAAATCAAGTAAACCGTTGTAAATGTGTATATTTATCATTTGATTTAATATTTATGAATATACTATTTTTATATTCATTATTTATCTAATTTTTTTTACCGTTCAAGTAAAATATTTATCTAAATGAATAAAATACTTGTAAGTAACATGTATACCTGTACCTAATAGCCACATTTGGAAAACACTTGAACAGAGTCCAGACCATAATGGATGGGCCTGCATGGCCCAAAATGTAAAAGCACCTAAGAACATAACACGTGCCATGCACACTTGCCGTCTCTCCATCCCCGCCTTCTCATTTTCTTCGCGTTTTCTTTCCGTTGTCCATATTCTCACTATTACCAACGTTGATTCTTATTCCTCCGGCGAAGTTCCGGAGACAGCTCCGACACTCAATATGTTTATTTATTTATTTCCAATCCCATCCGATTCCAGAATCCTGAATTTCCCATTCAACAGTCACCCATGATTCAAACTTCCCATTTCCGTTTCAATTTGACGGATCCTGCTTCCTGCCAGTCGTCAACCCGCAAATAATCTCAGCTGCCCATTTACTTGACTCAAAATTTTCGAGATTTTGTAGAGACCCAGTTGAGCCAATTCCTTTCTAACGTTGGGGTTGTTTCTGTCTTGATTTTCTCCTTCTTTGATGGCTCGATTTTCCTGTTATTACCTTGTTATCTTCCTTTTAAACGTTGTCTTTTCACTTTTTAGTATAGAACCCTGTGTGTGCATTCATCAAGAGGATGAATTCTCGATAATGGGTTTTGATATGGAGTCGTTTCATGGAGATTATACGCCGCCATCGCCGCCACCACCGCCGTCTTCACCGTTACCTCCTCCTCTCTCATGTGAGGAAGATTTAGGGGGAAGTGGGTCGCTTGACACGATTTGCCAGCTGAATTCAAGTTTGAATTTGCAAAAAGATGCGTATATAGCAGGGAACGGCAGTTTTCATGTACTTCCTGGGGTCATTTTGAGTTGCCCTTTAATAGGTTGCTCAATTACGATTAATGTGAGCGGGGGGGAGTTCAGGCTGAGCCAAAATGCAATGATTGTTTGTGGAACGGTGCATGTGGCAGCTTATAGAGCGCGTTTATTGGATGGCTCGGTGGTGAATGTCAGTGCTCTGGCGGGGTCACCGCCGGCTCAGACCAGCGGGACACCCTCTGGAGTGCAAGGCGCAGGTGGAGGCCATGGGGGAAGAGGGGCGAGTTGCGTGACTGACAATACAAAACTGCCAGATGATGTTTGGGGAGGAGATGCATATTCATGGTCATCCTTGGAGACGCCCTGGAGTTATGGTAGTAAAGGTGGGACAACGAGCAAAGAAGTGGACTATGGAGGGGAAGGGGGTGGGAGGATTAAGTTTCAGATTCAGGAGTCAATCGAGGTTGGTGGGAGTTTGTTGGCAGATGGGGGAGATGGGAGTGTGAAGGGTGGAGGAGGATCTGGTGGCAGCATTTATATCAACGCCCAAAGAATGTATTTCTTTGCAATATTTCTTTTTTAATGTTCTCTTTAGTGGCTTCGTGTTTTACTGCATGAGAAAATTGCTTGTAAGTGTCCTTAAATAACTTATGGTTGAAATATACAGGACTGGAAGTGGTGTGATAAGTGCCCGCGGGGGGAATGGATTTGCTGGAGGAGGTGGTGGAAGAATATCAATTGATGTTTTCAGCAGGCATGATGATACAAAATTCTTTGTTCACGGTATGCTTGGATAATTATATAATTATCTTTTATCCTTGGAACAAATATTTCCTCAAACTTTTTTTTTTGGGCAATTGTATTTAGAACCCTACTCTGAAGTGTGATATGGCACTATCTTGAAAGACTAAGGTTTAGAATAAGGGGCTTGAGTTGCTCTTGGTCCTATCTCCTTGCTGTCAAAGACCCATCCATGTTTATTATATTAATCAAATACATGTCGTCTCAGTCCTTCTGTTTCTTTTCAGGAGGAGGGAGCTTTGGCTGCCCCGAAAACTCAGGTGCTGCTGGGACTTATTTTGATGCTGTGCCTCGGAGTCTTACAGTTTGCAATCATAACATGTCCACAAATACGGACACACTTCTAATGGAGTTCCCTAAACGATCTCTTTGGACAAATGTTTATGTTCGTGATCATGCGAAGGCTTCTGTTCCTTTGTTTTGGAGTCGTGTTCAGGTCATTGAAGAACTAAATCTTGAGCTTTTATGTGGATCTGTTCTATGCTTATTCTCCTTTTAGTTGTTATGATATGGTTTTAGGATAATCATACTCCATTTGCTTAGACCTTTGCATTCTGGTGTTTATATTGTTGCCCTTTGTGATAACATCTATTTTGTCAATTGCTTGATGTGGCTATCTCAACTCTGTTGAAGTGTTGACTGAAGTCATGGCACTTTTAGTTGTTTGCCCAGAAAAAAAGAAGTGATCAAAGGGTAGTAATGGTTAGGACAATTCAAATTTTTGGTGATGGGTCCGATGGATTAAGAACTTTATTTTTCATTTCAGAAATTGTCATTGCTTTTGGATGGCTATAAAGGACCTAGAACAATTTCATATCCCCTATACTTTTTGGTTGCTTTTAAACACTACTTTGATACTTTGTATGTTTGTACATGAGCTCAAGTTTTTTAATGTCTCCTTCTCCCTTGTCCTGCCTTCTTAATTTTATTATACTCTTATTCTAAAGTTTATTAACAGTATTTTATCTAATCTTCTTGGTGTTCAGGTACCAAGCTAGCTCTATGTGTGTGTGTTGCTCACATACATGCCTACACACACATGTTATACTAATTTCTTATCAGCTTTTAGTCAAATTCTTGTTGTTTAAGAGGATTCTGCCTCTTCTGATTTTAAAATAAATTCCTTTTCTTTTCTAATATTCACTTCTTATACTTTAGTTTTACCTACACTCTTTGTTAATATTCCTTCAACTAAATTACTCTTTATTAATATTCACAGCTACAAATCACTTCTTTTCCATTATAATGCATGAATTTCTTAATATAGAAATTGTGATTCAATTTATAGGTGCGAGGACAAATTCGTTTATCATGTGGTGCAATTCTAAGCTTTGGTCTTCCTCATTATGCTTCATCAGAGTTGGAATTGATGGCAGAAGAGCTTTTAATGAGTGACTCAGTTGTCAAGGCAAGTAATGGAGACTCTTTTGCTTAAGCAGACATAATACTGTTTGGATATTTTATTTTAACTGTTTAGTCAGCCAACTATGTGATGTGGGAAACTGTTGCAAACTTTGAAGTTTGAAGTACTTGCAATAGAAAAATGACACAGAACTTGAAGCATATTCCAAAAGTACAAAGTGAATGGCCTCCTACAGGTTGTTTTGGAAACACGTATTAACAATTACCATTTATATTCTTCCCTGTAAAATTTAGAATTAATTTTATGTCGCTAGTTTAGCTTCACAGTGATGCATAAAGTATTCTGTCTGTTGTATGGTAGCCCCTCTGCCCTTATTTTGTGGTGTTTAGATCTTAACATGAGAAAAATGTTCCTGCTATGATGTTTTAATATTATCTGCTTTGCGTACGACCTTTTTAATGGATTTTTAATATGTTTGCTCTTGCCTATATTGCCATTTATTGGTGTTATCATGTTAAAAAAAGTCTTAACTTCTAGTTTTTTATTTCAATTATAGGTATATGGGGCTTTACGTATGTCTGTCAAAATGCACTTAATGTGGAATTCCAAAATGTTTATAGATGCTGGTGGAGATGCTATCATTGCAACGTCCTTGCTTGAGGCCAGCAATTTATTGGTTCTTAAGGTATCTCTCATACTTTTTTCCTATTAACAACAAAGCCTTGATATATGCTGCTCCAGGTGTGAAATGCTGGTCCATTTTTCTTGTCAGGAATCATCACTGATACACTCTAATGCCAATTTGGGAGTTCATGGGCAAGGTTCCTTGAATTTGTCAGGACCAGGAGATACAATTGAAGCACAACGTCTGATTCTATCATTATTTTTCAGTATCAATGTAAGCCAAAAAGCTCTTTAGTAGTTTCAAACTTTCAAATAAGTCTAAAAGTTAAATGTTCACACCTAGCAGTGTATACCCTGTATGCTTCTAGCCAACAGACAGCCATTTTGGGATAAGTTGCTTCTGACTCTCCTTTGGTGGTAAATTATGAATATGAGACAAGCAATTTATCCTAGGAATTAATTATCAACAAACAAAATGGATCCCTTCAGCATCATTGGCATTAAGTCTACATTTTGATTAGTTTAATGATAGAAACATTGCTAAATTTTTGTTTCAAAGATTTTTTATTGTTTTCTTAGTTCATTTTTTTGGCTTCATTTCTTGGTATATGCTGAAATAAAAATAACTTAAAGGGACCCCCCCTCCCTACCTCACCCAAAATAAACATTTAATTTTGTTTGAGTGTGTGCTTGTGGAGGGGTGATGGTCTCTCAACCTATTTAATCTGTGTTAAGATTCATTAATATTCCTAGATCCAACTTGCCAGCCCTAGGGGAGCTAGGATATCCTAACTTCTAAGTAGGCTAGCCAAAGTAGAGTGGCAAATGAAATTCTATGAGACTGAGAAGGCCAGTGTTAGCATGCAAACTCAGTGGGGTGCAAGTAACTGTTTTTGTCAAGGAAGTCTATTTTTCAAAAACCAAAATAAGAAAATCAAAATCTTAAACCTTTTCTTTTTCCCCTAGACAGCTTTAAATTTTCAAAGGGGAGACGTAGAAATCTACCCCTTAAGAAACACATAAAAATGTTGAATGGCTATGAAAAGGAAAGAATTTTATATTCATCATTGGATTTGGATTGGACCTATAAATTGCATTTTGTATCAACTTCAACTTTGATACAATTAGATAAAGAAAGGCAAGCATAATTGCGAATGGGTGTCTGACAGCGTGTGGTTAAATATTGCTTCATTGGTCTGATTGCAATGTCGTGTTGATTTTGGACCATGGCTTATTATATTTTATAAATTCTATAACGCGTTTGATATTCCATTTAAACTGTAAATTAGCAATTATATTTCATGTCCTGAATTTTCCTTCTTGTAATGAAGGTTGGACCAGGATCAGTCCTACGTGGTCCCTTGGAGAATGCCAGCAATAATGATTTGTAAGTTATGAATGTAAATTGTAAAATGATTTGCTGTGCTTATTTATTTGGTAGTTATTTATCTTCAGAAAATGGCAGGGTTCCACAGCTCTATTGTGAACTTCAAGATTGCCCCATGGAACTGACTCATCCACCTGAAGATTGTAATGTGAATTCTTCGCTGCCCTTCACTCTTCAGGTGTTCAGTTAACCAGATTTAAAACTCAAGTTATTTTTTTGGTTAGATTAGTAAATGTTGCATTGTCTTTTTCTGAATGGCTTATGCCTTCAGGTTTCTAATCAAATTGTTGGATTGGCATGCCCCTACAGATATGTCGAGTCGAAGATGTTTTTATTGAAGGCATTATGATTGGATCCATTGTTCATTTTCACTGGGTTAGAACTGTTGTTGTCCATGCTTCTGGAACCGTCAGCGCCTCAGGACTTGGTATGGTTTTTGCCTCTTGTCATATAAAATTTCAATGAGTTAAGCAGTTATAGGGTTTGAATTTTGTGTTACTGAATCCTGATCTGAGCTTCTCTAGGTTGCACTGGTGGGTTGGGTAGAGGAAAAGTATTTAACAATGGTCTTGGTGGCGGTGGAGGGCATGGTGGAAAAGGTGGAGATGGTTATTATGATGGCAGTTTTGTTGAGGGTGGCATTGCATATGGAGATGCTGATTTGCCTTGTGAACTTGGTAGTGGTAGTGGAAATGATAGTCTTGCTGGTGCAGTTGCTGGTGGTGGAATAATAGGTAAGATGCTGTAGCTGAGTAGTTGATAATCTTTTTCTCTTAATTTAATTTACTATTTTCCTTCAATGAGACTAAGTGTTCCCGACATAAAATAGCATGGCATCCAGTTTTCAGATCGGATATCTATCATGGGGAATCTACTTAGATTTGAAATAAAAAATTTTGTATGGCAGAAGTTGAGTGTCATATGGAGAATCTACTTTAGATTTAAATCACATTAAAGGTTATCATGGACTAAAGTAACAAAAAAGGTGTTTTACAAGGCAAACTCTACATTAAAAGTACAATCTGCCCTATGAATTTACTAAAATACCCTTATGAAACTATTTCTTATGTTATTTCATTAAGGGTATTTTAATAAATTCATAGGGGGACTAAACTTTTAATGTAGAGTCTGGACTGTAATATATGACTCCCTTAAAGTAATGTCTTAAATTTTTTGTTAAATTGTTTTCATTGATTTCCTTCTGAGTTACTATTTTAGGTACCCTCTCCTTTCAGTTCAGTTCTCTGTGAGTCCAAATGGTTGAGATTCTGCTAAATATTAGTAGAAAGATCTATCTTATTTAATTGTTCAGACTATGACTGGGAGTATGTTCTACTTTATGCCCTGATATTAATGCAAGTAAATTTTCAAGTTTTATCTAACAGGTTCTATAGATCAAATGTGTTTGGAGTCATTTTAATTGTTGACAATTAGCTGACTTCTGTTTTGGGTTTAATCATTTTCTTCCTATGATTGATATTTTGTTTATTGTTTTCTTGAACAGTAATGGGTTCACTGGACCACTCATTATCAAGTTTATCTGTCTATGGTTCAATTAGAGCTGATGGAGAAAGCTTTGGAGAAAATGTTAAGAAGCATGGCCATAAAAGCATTACTAGTATTGGCCCTGGGGGTGGATCTGGTGGAACAATTCTTTTATTTGTTCATACAGCTGTGCTTGGTGATTCTTCTGTTATTTCAACTGCTGGAGGGCATGGAAGTCACATTGGCGGAGGCGGTGGAGGTGGTGGAAGGGTTCACTTTCATTGGTCAGATATACCAACTGGGGATGAGTATGTACCCTTAGCAAGTGTGAAAGGAAGCATTGAAACCAGGTTTGTGTCCATAAGACATGTACTTTTGAATGCTTTTGTATTAAATACTTTAATCTATACCTTCCTATCCTGCTGGTAGAAATATTACAGTGAACTAAAAATAATGCAGTAGATTTTGCTTGAACTGTAGAAATATAACTCCATGGATTTGGGTAATTGAAATAAATCAACATAATCTGCATGAAACAGATTGAATGCATTTGTAATGTATGCCTTCTTGCAGGGTAAATGATTGTTAAGCATTTCTCAGCTTTCTTATCATTATATTTATGAATATTCTACCAAACAAAGCCAGTCTAAAAAGTTAAGTTTCCACTTTCTGGACAGCACACCTGGACTAAGTACAAAGTAATTCTGCAGTAGAGGGGGAAAATTTGAAGTGCATAATCGTTTTCTTTCCCCATTATATGGCTGGTTGGCTGGCTCTTAAGGCTTTGCTGAGAAATCTTTTAATTGCACTGTGGATGATAATCAATGGAAATATCTCTTCCAATTTAGAATGCTTCTGCTATAATAATTTTCAAACCACAGATTGTTTAATTTTGTTTATTCCTTGGTTTAGTTTAGCAGTGAACGCTGAGGGATAGTGTTCTTGCTTCTTCAGATGACATTGACTTTGTATTCTGTAGAAAAGTACATGCCAATCTTGAAAAATGAGTGTTGAAATTTGGTAATTGTATCATGTTGTATTTCTTGGTCTGCTTGAGCAGGGGAATACAGATCATCAGGTTGTGATGCTCCTATTATCACTTGGCTCATTGGTTGAAGACAACTATGTAATGTCATCAACTTCTCTTGTGACCGTGTGCATTGAGAACTAGTTCTTACGAATGAGGGTTGCTATTAAATTCACTCTGTTTTTCATGTTCTTGTAAAGGATTGGTAATTAGGCCTGTTCTTATGGAAGAAAAGACCAAAAGCTTTGGGTTTCTTGTTTATCAGCCAAGAGATCTTCCTTATTTTGATGCTGTTCTAATGAGTTTTCCCTTTATTATGCCTTACAATAATTGTTGTTGTTTGGCTTTTGTGGCTTCTTCATGAAATAAGCCTGATTTTGCTGCTCTGTCTGCAGGGGAGGATTGGGTAGAGGTCAAGGGTATGCTGGGGAAAATGGGACCATTACTGGAAAGGTCTGTCCAAGGGGACTTTATGGTATATTTTGTGAGGTAGAGTCCCAAATGTTCCATGTTAGATAATTCTCTATTCTTGCTTCAGTGCCTCTGGTCAGTTAATAACTTTTAGAAAAAAACCTTCAGCTGACTTAAAGGTTTTCTCTTTTTGGTTGGGTTAAACCTTTTTTATTTAGCACAAACATCAAAGATAAATGAACATTTTTGCAACTTTTGGCTGAGTTTAATGAAACAGAACCAGCAAGATTATAGATTAATATTCTCATTAGATTTATTTTTGCATGATAGTGCAGCAGAAATGAAGATATAACTGCTTATCTGTTTAATTTACTTAATTTTCTTCACCATCTGAACACATACTCTGCAGGAATGCCCCATTGGAACATTTAAGAATGTCAGTGGATCTGATAGAGCACTTTGTCATAATTGCCAATCTAATCAGCTTCCACAACGTGCCATATATGTTAGTGTTCGAGGTATTTGGCTGGTTATAACTTAATTTATTTTACAAGAACACATTAAACTTAATGCAAATTTTTTTTTCATAAGATGCCCTTTAGTCTCATCCTAATCTTTTGACAGGCGGTGTGACTGGAAGTCCTTGCCCCTATGAATGCATTTCTGACAGATATCATATGCCACACTGTTACACAGCACTTGAAGAGCTAGTTTATACATTTGGTGGGCCATGGCTGTTTGGTCTTATTCTGTTATGTCTCCTTGTCCTTTTAGCTCTAGTTCTTAGTGTTGCACGGATGAAATATGTTGGTGGAGATGAATTACCAGCTGTTACACCCACTCGACATGGCTCTCAGATCCCTTTCCTGGAGTCACTGAATGAGGTCTAATTTTTCAGTTTGTTCCCTGTACATTTTATGTTTTTCATCTGTCATACTTATCAAACAACATCAGCAATTGAAGCCAGCTGCAACACACTATATAACTTTCACAGCATTACGATTCTGTTCAATTCAGGTTTTGGAGACGAATAGAACTGAGGAGTCCCAGAGTCATGTGCATCGGATGTATTTTATGGGTCCAAATACTTTCAGTGAACCTTGGCATCTACCTCACTCTCCTCCAGAGCAAGTAACTGAAATTGTGTATGCTCTCATCATTCTTACCTCTTTTTAACGTTTGGTGTTTTAGTGGTAAAAGTTGCTGCAATCATTTCAGTACCTGGTACCTGGTTATGTTAATTCTTCTTTATGAGCTAGCATAAACTATTAATAGTTAGCCCCCTCCCCCCTCCTCTAAAGTGTGATAAAATAATCATTTGTATAAAATAACTTGTGCATTGTTTACATTGCAGATATGAGGATGCCTTCATTAGATTTGTAGATGAGATTAACTGTTTAGCTGCCTATCAGTGGTGGGAAGGATCAGTTTACAGTATACTTTCTGTATTTGCATATCCACTAGCATGGTCCTGGCAACAGCAACGTCGGAAAAAGAAATTACAGCAGCTTCGTGAATTTGTTCGATCTGAATATGATCATGCTTGTCTACGTTCTTGCCGTTCACGTGCTCTCTATGAAGGGCTAAAGGTTTGTTCTTCAAAAATATATTTTTCAATTCTCTTCTGCAGTAAGAAATTCACAGGGGATATGGAATTATGGGTGACCTAATTATGAAGTGTTTGGGGCCAAAAAAAAAAAAAAAGCAGCTTTTCTGTATAAAATTTTCCATTCCTCTTAATTTTCCTGTCTTAAAGTTAAAAACTTTGGAGGTCAAAGTTTCATGTTAATTCCATTTGGGAATTCTTTTAAACTGAATAAATATCTTCTGTGTGTGAAACAGATCAATCTATTGCAGCATTGCTGTCCCTACTTTATACAGTCTTATAGTAATTGAAACTGATGCTTTCTACTGATATCTTTTATTTGCTTAACAGGCTGTGCTGTATGTTGTTTATCTTGTGTTAATGTAATCAACAACCCTAACATTTATCTTTACTGTTATACATTCCAGGTTGCTGCAACTTCTGATCTAATGCTTGCATATGTTGACTTTTTCCTTGGAGGAGATGAAAAAAGGGGTGACCTTCCTCCTCGTCTTCATCAAAGAGTTCCAATGTCTTTGGTTTTTGGAGGAGATGGAAGTTACATGGCTCCTTTCTCTCTCCAAAGTGATAACATAATTACCAACCTAATGAGTCAGGTTTGCTGTTTATTATTTGATAAATGGTTGTTTCACTAATTTTCAATTGGCTTAGATTCTTTTTTGTGGAATGAGAGACTGTTGATTTTAATTATTCTTTTAACAATTTCCCAGTCTGTTCCCCCAACAACATGGTTTCGACTAGCTGCTGGTCTAAATGCTCAACTGCGCTTAGTTCGTTATGGACACTTAAAGATTACCTTTGGTCATGTTATTAGCTGGCTTGAAACACATGCAAACCCTACTTTGAGTACCTATGGTGTACGTGTTGATCTTGCTTGGTTTCAGCCTACATCTTCTGGTTATTGTCAGTTTGGGCTTATGGTATGTGCTAATGGAAGTATGCCAGAGTTGGTTGAAGGTCGAGATAGATATTCTCCACCTGGGGACCAGTCATGGTAATAATTTAATAGTGATTGTACTTTTCAGGATCCAATTAAATGTTACTAGCCTAAAGTTCTCATTTATATTGCAGTTCACACGGTCATAGGAGTCATTCAGTGGCCTATTTGAGAGCTGAGGAGCATCTAGTGTCATGTAAACGGATATGTGGAGGGATTTTGCGTGCAAAAAGTTTACAGAGACTTAAAATGAGGGGTTCAATTTGTTATCGCTTTTCTTTTATTGTCTATAATACAAAGCCAGTTGGTCATCAGGTAGTTTGAACACTTCTAGAGGAAGAATTTGATTTATTTATCATTTTATTAAATTTGGTTAAACTTTTTGGATGACATTCTGATTTCTTTGTCTTATTTGCAGGATCTTGTCGGTTTGCTCATATCCATACTGCTTTTAGGAGATTTTAGTTTAGTTTTGCTTACTTTGCTGCAAATGTATTCTATATCACTGCTGGACTTCTTTTTATTTTTATTTATCCTTCCCCTTGCCATACTGTTTCCATTCCCGGCTGGCATCAGTGCTTTGTTCAGTCATGGACCTAGACGCTCCGCTGGCCTTGCTCGTGTATATGCTCTCTGGAATATTACATCCTTGATCAATGTTGTAAGTTGTTATGAAACTACTTTACACTATTTTTCAAATACTTTAAACCATGGTATAGACTTGAAAGTTATATATGTAGAAATATTTGTCTGCTCCAAGTAGGCACAACTTACCAATTAATTTGAAAAGTCTGTATTACGATTATTTGCAATTTAGTAGTAAAAAATTCAAGAATGACAATGTATGTTTGCATTGAATAACATAATATATTAAGCTCCTTAAAGCCAATATTTGAATTCTGTAACATAACTCTGTGCTAGGGACATCATAAGCAGCATTATCTTAACATGGTGGTTCTATGAAGAAAGCATGTCGAGTGTTTTTTCACATGTTGCTCTGATTTTACATTCATATCTTTCTTTGCTGACAGGTAACAGCTTTCCTATGCGGATTTGTTCACTATAAGACCCACTCTAGTAAAAAGCACACAAACTTCCCATCCTGGAATTTTAGCATGTAAGTATTTTTCATCAGTTACTGCTAAAGTAGTCAGTGTTATATACCTGCATGCTACTACTATTTTACCAGAATGAAATATTTATTCGTGCAATGACAATACCGTTATATATGCAGGGATGAAACTGAATGGTGGATGCTTCCTACGGGGTTAATTGTGTGCAAAATCATCCAAGCACGACTGGTTGATTGCCATGTGGCTAACCAAGAAATTCAGGATTACTCCTTGTACAGCAAAGATCCTGATGTTTTCTGGCAATCATGAAAGGCACGTTGCTGGATACGCGTAGGAAAGGTTAGAGTATAGAGTCATCCACACCCAACACCCCGGATAAAACCCTTTTACCTTTTTATTCAGTTTTCTTCAAATGGTTTCTTCTGTGAGTTAGCATATTAGTTTGTCTGATGTAATGGAGTAGCTCTATGCATGGTGATTACTGAATCTAAAAAACAATACTCGGTGACAATTCTTAACTTCAACCGGTGCAATGACATTTTTTATGACAAGGCCATTTTCTTCTTGCCATAGGCCCAGCTGACATGGGTTGCCTAAAGGACTTAAATGCATAAAAGCAAACTTATTGGGTTAGAAATTCATCCGTTTCGTCATTTTTCAGTTTAAGGGGAAAATTCTTTGGAAAAATGTAGTTGAAGGTTTCTTCCTTATTCCTAGTATGGTGTGGTATCTGGATTTTGTCATTTGTCATGTTTAAGGCTTTGTTTAAGAACATTTTCAGTACTTTAATTTTTAATTTTTATATCTATTTATAATTTTTAAAAATAGAAAATATTAATTAAAATAAATATTAAATATATTTTACATATTTTTGAGATATTAAAAGGCTAAAATAACTCACAATTATAGTTATAAGTTAACACAGTCAAACTAAGTCTAAATTTGCTTTTGCTTGTAATTCTAAATTTCTTATGTTGAAAAAATCTAACTTTGCCCCATAATAGACATCACTGCTAACGATATCGTTTGTTTCTAGGGATCAAATTAAAAACACAATCTTCACGAGCAAGTTTTTCATTGAGAGAGATTATAGAAGAAAATCAAACATTGTTCTTGTCACGACATTAAGAATAAAAATCATTGTCCAGTACTACGAATAAGGTTTCGTTTTTCTTCACGAATAATGCTTAGGTCAAAGGAAACCAAAACATTATGATTACTTTTTACACCTATATGTTTTAGGGCATATTTTGACTCAAAATTAATTTTACTAAAAAGAGTTTTTATTAAGAAAATATTGTATGCAAAGTTGATAATCCTTTACAATGAAATTTTGTTGAAGTCTTAGGCTTCATCTTTTAGTGCCTTTTTTTACAAGGCTTTCTTATCTAAAAATGTAGATTTATTATTCTTAATTAACTTTAATTATTTTTTAGATACTTTTTATTAATTTAAATTAATATTTTATATATTTTTAGAATAATAGAAGATTAGAAAACTTATAATTAAACGAAGCTTTATTGATGTACCAAAAAAAAAAAAGCTTTATTGGGTTATTACTTGTTAATTTTTTCATGTTTAGTAAAAAAGTGATATTTAAAAAATTGAGAAAAAGTTTTTGTTTTAAATGAGAAAAAAAAGATTATTTATTTAAAATTATGTTAAAAAATAAAAAATAAAAATATTAATTTTATCTTTTATTTGTTATAATATTAATGTATAAAAATAATAAAATAACATTAAACTTTCTTGAGTTATATTTCCCCCAAGCGAACACACTAATATCATAGGTTAGCTCATTCAACTAATAAAAAAAAAAAAAAGTACGTGATATTGAATGGTCAACTGAAGAAATTAACGTCCAAAAATAAAAACCCAAAGAAATTCCTTATCTAAATAAACAAATTTTCATTTGTATTCCTTTTAGAGAAAATAGAGAACCTATATTCATCCTGATGTCTTATGATATTATTGGTCTGGTCAAATGCTAGGCAGAATTTACCCAAAAAAAAAAAAGAAGCTAGACAGAAGAGTCTGCGAACTGCCTGCTCGCCTGCCTGCCTCCCTCAGATATTTTCTCCTTTTCTCTTGCAAAATCCGAAAATGTGGCTACATACAGAATCAAAAGATTCTATTTGCTGAATGGGGGTAACATCATCAATTACTCACTCCATCACGTTGACAATTTCTCTACCAGTCTATCTAACTATAACTACGCTACCTACCCACCTTCTTCTTCTTCATCTCTGTGTATTCTGAGAAAGGAAGAGAGGTATGAAGGAACAGAGCATGGAGGATCCACTTTTGTCCAATTATGATCTCGGAGAAATTAAGAAGAGGAAGAACAGAACCCGAGCTTTGTGTTCCCTTTTTGTTTTTCTCTGCATCTCAAGTCAGTTCTTTCTTCTGGGTTTTCCGTTTTAGATTCTTTTATGAAATCAAGAATTTTATGCCCATGAAAAGAAAGATAATGGTTTGATTAAGGTAGATTTCTTAATGTTCCTTGTATGAATTTTCCTGATTTCTGCTAGTTTTGCTGTTTGTATTGCAGTTGTAGGCCTAGTTTTCAAAGATGATTTGAGTTTCTTGGTAGTGAGAGGAAACCAGTACGGTCAAAGGATTGGGGTTGGTGATTCAGACATTGTTGAGTCAGACCGAGGTGTGGTGGCTGCGGATGATGGTCGGTGTTCTGAAATTGGTGCGTCAATCCTTAGAAAAGGAGGGCATGCGGTGGATGCTGCAGTGGCAACTGCACTTTGTGTTGGAGTTGTTAATCCAATGGCGAGCGGAATTGGAGGTGGAGCATTCATGATTGTCAGGTCTTCATCTACTTCACAGACAGAGGCTTATGACATGAGAGAAACTGCTCCCTTAGCTGCATCACAGGTCCATTAAATTGGAATCTCAGAAAAAGTATGATGTAATATATATGTTTCTATCCTGACTCTGTGTTTGTTAATGTAATTTGAAATGAACAGGACATGTATGAGAATGATCTCCAAGCCAAGTACAAAGGGGCATTGTCAATGGCAGTTCCCGGGGAGATTGCTGGCCTTCGTCAGGCTTGGTTGAAGCACGGGCGTTTAGCATGGAGGATTTTATTTGAACCTGCTATAAAACTTGCTAAAGAGGGTTTTGTGGTTGCCCCATATCTTGGATTAAGCATAGCTGCATCTGCAGAGGCTATCTTGAAGGACCCTGGCTTGAGGCAATTGTTTGCCCCAAATGGGAAGTTGTTGCAGGCTGGTGATACATGCTACAATGTGGAGCTAGCCAGGAGCCTGGAGGCAGTAGCAGAAGAGGGGCCAGAAGCCTTTTATAATGGAAAAGTTGGGGAGAAATTGGTGAAGGATGTGAGGGAGGCAGGTGGGATTTTGACAATGGAGGATTTGAGGAATTACAAGGTGGAAGTGATGGATGCAATGGCTGCAAATGTGATGGGCTATACTATCTATGGAATGCCACCTCCTTCCAGTGGAACCGTTGGCCTATCTCTGGTGGGTAATGGAATTGTATGACATTGATTTTTGCAATGATTTACACACTCTAGAATGAGAGATTGGAACGTGAAATCATTTATAATCTCAACCTCTCTTATTATTATGCTTTCTGTCTTTTCTAATTAAGAAGATTAGAATGCAAATAAAACTGCTTAATCCATGAGATTTTTAATTTTCTTAACAGGTTATGAACATCTTAGACAGCTATGAAAGTTCTGATGCTGCAAAGGGAAATCTCGGTCTGCATCGCTTGATTGAAGCAATGAAACACATGTTTGCCATAAGAATGAACTTGGGTGACCCTGATTTTGTAGATGTGAAAGAATCTATATCCAAAATGCTTTCTCCTTCTTATGCAAAGGAAATCCAGCAAAAGATACTTGACAACACCACTTTCCCTTCAGATTACTACATGTATAGGTGAAGAAAAGATCTATCCTCATTTCTTTGCTTGCTTCTTCTCAAGAAATGATTCTAGACTTGCTGATCTCTTGATACCCAGGTGGAGTCAGCTCAGAGATCATGGAACAAGCCATTTCTGCATTGTAGACACTGATCGAAATGCTGTGTCAATTACAACAACTGTAAATTATCCATTTGGAGCTGAGGTACTTTCTCCTTCTACTGGCATTGTGCTCAACAATGAGATGGGTGACTTCTCTTCACCAACAGAGATATCTCCTGACTTGCTCCCTCCAGCTCCGGCAAATTTCATTCAACCAAACAAGAGGCCCCTATCTTCAATGACACCCCTCATTATCACCAAGGTTTGAACAATTTTAAGCACGTTCTTACTTTACACTCAAACTCTATTCTTCTGGAATAAGAATAGCATCCTTCTTACTCATCAGGATGATCAACTCGTCGGAGCAATTGGTGGTAGTGGAGGATTGAGCATTATCCCAGCAGTGATTCAGGTTTTCCTGAATCATTTTGTCCTGGGGATGGAACCTTTGGCCGCAGTTCAGAAACCAAGAGTTTACCACAGGGTTGGTTTTTCCTTCCAATCCATGGGACATATTTATCTTCTTGTTTAAAAGAAATCAAAATTGACTTGATGTTATTTTTTTTTTTTTGGTGCAGCTGATACCGAATGTGGTTCGGTACGAGAACTGGACTGTAATAGATGGCAACCACATCGAGCTCGCCAAAGAAACTAGGGTTTTCTTGGAGGAGATAGGTCATCAACTGGAAGCCAGAGCATCAGGGGCAATTGTCCAGCTTGTTGTTCAGACCCTTCAAAACGCCATGGACACCAGTCGAAGATTTGGAAAAGATTCCGGTGGCAAAATATTCCACGGAACACTGACGGCTGTGAGCGACCCAAGAAAGGACGGGAAGCCAGCTGCAGTTTGATCCCCTTGGTTGCACTAAACCTGAACTGGAAGTCTTAAACATTCCAAGGAAAAGAGAATAATTTCCAGAGCATATTCAATGGAGATGGAAAACAGTACCTTAGGAGACATTTAATATTCTGTTTATAAACATTATTTTGTAATATATCAATTGTTCATCAATGATACAGCCGTTTGACATCATGCAACATGTAAATCTGATTTAAGGACAAAGAGCATGATGCAAACAGATGATTCAGAAACATTAGTTCTCACGAGGTCCTTGTTTACACCTAATTTTACAACAAATAAAGTGGTGCTACGTGTCACTCAGGTTTACGGATATTTTATTAGTTAAAAGTTGGTCTAAATTTTTTTAGATAAAATTGAATGGTTATTTCCACAATAACAGTAAAACCGTTCTCTTGTTACAAGTTTTCAGGAGGATAATCGCAGCATCAACAAATTAATCAGTTTGTTGCAGATATCATACTACTGTTGGTTTTTCATGATGCTGCCGCAGAACTCCACCATACTACCAAGGCGCTATAAATACCCAATGATGAGATCAAGTAAAGGATCGACATCTCACACAACAAACTCAGCACAATTTCTTTTTATGCTTAGATTCATTTTAGTCTCAAGCCTTTTAGTTTAGTTTCAGCTCTATGCTTCAGTCTAGATTAATTTAGTAATTCAGCTCTTCTTTTATTGGATTTGTAATGGTGAGTTTCATTACCTTCAATAGTATTTCTTTGTGATCGAGTTGCTTCCTTTTCTTTTTTCTAAGTTTTTCTTTAATTAAATCAAATGATGTCTACATTTAATTTCATATTCAATTTCATTTCTGTTAATTTATATTTCATGATGCAAGTAAATTTTTCTTGTTTCCAATTTTATTTACTTTAACTTAACTTTAACTTAATTTACTTTTACTGTAATTAAATTTCTTTTTAAAACTCTGTTTCAACCTAATTTGCGTATTTAAAATTCATTTAGATTTTCAGTAGTTTAACGATAATTTATTTTCCTTATAGTCTTAACTTTTGTTGATTACATTACCTTTGAGAAGTCCTTGGAATCATATCTAGGGCATTTTGCCGTATAACCAATTCAGTGCAAGAAGTTCATCCATCATTTCTATCAATTGTTTGATCTTTAAAACACAATTTACGACGTTTTTCATCAACTTACAAACTAAGTTCCACACTTGGAAAGAAGAGAAGGTCGTCATAAAAATCTTTCTTGTTTGGGCATAACAAGTGGCATGCCATTTCATCTACCACGTTGCCAAAATGTCTCACACAAGCTTAAATGACTCTCACACAAGCTTAAATGACTCTCACACGAGATTTTTTGGGATAACAGTCCTCAACAGTGGTATATCAATCTCTCACACAAGCTTAAATGACTCTAATTTTTGGCAAACAATATGTACATCAGCTACTAACATGCTTTGGCATTTAGCCTCATGCATGGTGTGCTTTTGA